AAAGTATAAAAAGAATATATAAACATAAAAGTGACAACTTTTTATGTGGAACTCAAAAGAATGTGTGTTCTATACATTGTATAAGAAATTAAAAGTTGTAAACATAGATATTATATTCATATTTAAATTACATAACATATTTTTGTCATAATTGATCAATAATTACACATTATTTAGTGAATATGTTGTTAAGTTTTTTACAATGAAATTAAGAAAAAATAATAAAAAGGAACAGGCACCAGCACAACTGTAACTCACACAAATGTCGATAAATGTTTGTGAAATATGGATTGTCAACAAGATTTGAACTCACAGTTTAATTAATATTACAAATGTTATTTTCTTAATGTGAAAAAAATAAAATGTTGCTAAGCACTTTCAAGAACAGACTACATGGTTGCATTTTAAATTAAATTAAGAATAGGTATTTTTTTATTTGAAATCAAAATAAATAAATAAGAGTTGTCAACAGGATCTGAAGTCAGAGCTTAATTAATTACACAAATAGTTTTAATTAATGTTAAAAATAATAATGTGTTGCAAAGTTCTCGCTAGAAAATATGTATTATAGTTTTATATCTTAAATTGAATATAAAAAAAATAAAAAATAAAAAAACAAAATCAATGGTCATCAGGATTGGATCCCATAATTGCGGTGCTTATGCTCCTGAGCCAACCCTCATACCACTACACCATGAAACAGCATATGCAACCGGAAGTTATTTTGAAAGTATATATACACCGACTATGTTGGCTTTCTCTCTGGCTGTTTCCAAGACAATGAGTATAAATAGATGCGCTCTTTCATTTCTATTTTTCCTTAGTTAATAAAACGAATATTTTTCAGACAGAAAGAAGACATTTTCAGTGGACTTCAACAAGACACACAGTCTCTGTTGAAGTTTATAATGAATTACTCTTGAATTTATTGTGAGCTCGCCTTCAGTCCAGACGACACTTCACCGTTTGTTCGGCGATCAACATCGACAACATTCAAGCTGGGCTTGGCAGCACAGAATAATACTGTTTCAGAACTTTAAAAAGTATTGAGATACCTTTAAATAGATTTTATTGTTAATAAATGACATTTGAATAAATTTTTTAACAAACATCACACAAAGTTAGTGGATTTTTTGCCGTCTACCTGTATTGGGGCATCTGTCAACCAGACGTAAAACTGATGATGCAATCAAGTGCTGCAGACGTCCGATGAATAAAAAAAACTATTCATTTTTTATATCACATCAGTTAAAAATTTTTGCTAACAAGAACAAATCTTACCTTTCTTGGTTGTGAAAAATTAAGGAATTGTTGGTTTTAACTCCATCATTTGAGTGTTTCTGCTGCAGTAAACAAAAATATCGATAGCGGCGAAGTCCGTTTTCCGTGTTCCGGACCATATATTACACGCGATCTTGCATCAAAATGCCGAAAAATCATTTTAAAAATTAATTTTTCAATATGAGCGCAGTCTTGAACAAGTTTTTCCTTTTAACACATTAAAATTTTTATTTTGTAGCATCAATATGAAACTTGTTCAAGCCTGCGCTCATGGTAAACTTCAGTAAAATGTACCCACGAAATGGGGGAAATCACCGATTTTCGTGTTTTTTGTCAATTTTCAAACAGCTATATTAAAAAATTGGTGATATTTTTTAAATCTTGAAAACAATTCTAGAATCATGGACACTTCCATTATTAAATGTCTTCACTCTTTTGATTTTCTGAGACAATTTTTCTCAGTAAAATATTGGGGGTACATAGGTACCCAAACCATACATACTCCTTTATGTCAATAATTGTCTTTTACAGACTTTCAAGATTTTACAATCTAATAACCAGGATTTTTAATCATGACGAGAAATGTTCCCATAAACAATATCAATATTTTCTCAATATGAAGAGAAATTTCTATATAAATATTTATATACAAGAGGTTCAATAGACCTGTATCAATCATTATGATCTAATCATGATTCATCTGTGATCTTCTAAAACTATCTAGATTAATTAAATACACACAAGCCAAAGTTAATACTGGTAAAAATTCCTGCATGCCAAACAGATCATTATCAGGACAATAAGCCACTAGCTTATATTCAGAAGCGACTTTTAAAATTGTTTTCTTCTTTGTTATAAATTCCCTGACAATTTTAAACATTTGATGTCTGTGATTTTGAGAGCTGATCAAGATCATTATCATTTTTATCTGTATTTGTTCTTTAAATGTTGGATCTTTTGCCTTCTTTTCTCCTCCGTTCTGTCCTGTTTTTTGCTCTTTATCATAAGAAATTTAAAAATTGTGGTATATTACCATCTTTAACTGTCAAAATCCAAGATGGTCGCCAGCCATTTTTGTTTTTCTAAGCAGTCCCAAAATCAAAAAGGCACAACTGATGACGAATCTACATATGAAATTTGAGGAAGGTCCAGTACTTTAAAAGAAAAAGCAATAATAATCTTTCATTGTCAAAAATGTACACCATTCTGAAATTTTGTTTTTCTGATCAGTCTCAAAATTAAGCAGGCACAACTAGGGACCAAGAGAACCTAGACACCCATCCATTACATTAAGGGAAAGCTACAAAGAAATTTTAAGAAACCATTAAGTACTTCTCCAGAAATATCAAAAACAAAAATTGTTTACGGACGTATGGACAGACAAAGGACCATGGACGTATGGCGATAGGAAGAGTCCACCATTTGATGATGGTTGGCTAAAAAAGTTCCAGAGATTTTGATAAAATTCTCTGTGATCAACTTTAAGGGGATCAAGGTCATTTATTTAGTCCTTTATTCAATGTATCAATGCAACCATTCATTTATTCACAAATTATTTTCACTACTAAAAACAAAGATGGACAGAGCCAGAATGGTGATCCTATGAAAGGACAGATGATGATAACTAATATGCATACATACTGGCAAATTCTGTAAGTCAGATATGAGATGATGAAGATTTGTCATCTTACCTCGTTAACCCAGAAAAGAGGAACAAACACAGGAGTGATATCTTTCGTAACTCTGTAAAAGAAAAGCAGATTTCTGTAAACAACTATCAAAATCAATTAACCAAGTACTAATTGCTTTTGAGACAAATGATAGTAGCAGTTTCCACAATACAGAATGGTGTACAGATTTATTTTGCACAGAGTTTTCACTAGATCCAGCTAAACTTCATCAGGGAATTAGTGTCCAAATTGTGTCAAAATACATGTAAATACAATGCATAAAGTGAAGATAATATTCAGAAAGCAGGGGTTATCAAAATACTGATAATATTGATATCGAACAGACATTCAATGAATCCTCTGTGATATTCGACTTCAGTAAATATCAACGAGTTTCATTTTAAAAATTTTCATTCACGAAAATGAAATTTACATAGAGAATGAAAAGACCTTAATAAATTCACCTGTATTCACAGAAAATTTTATCTAGACATGCTGAAAACAACCAACAGCATTATACTGACAAATTTATCGTCTTATAACCAAGATAGACAATTCAGGTTATATTAGACGGTTGACTAAACTTGGCAGTCTGAAAAACTTGAAATCTGGATGATTTTGGCTGGATACAAAGGTGTCTGGATTATCAAGTGTCCACTATATACAGGTACATACATTTTATTAGTCTAACTAATTTGCCTTTAAATGTAGAGATGACCTCTGTACAGAACAAAGCAAATTTCTGTTAGTGATATCAGTACACTATATCTCTTCGTCCAGGTATCTTTGATACATGTATACAGTATAGGTCTTTGATACATGTATACAGTATAGGCCTTTGATACATGTATACAGTATAGGTCTTTGATACATGTATACAGTATAGGTCTCAGTATGTATTACAATGTAATCTATCACAATGTATTAGAGAGTAATGTTGCCTGGTTTTATACTGGGAAATAAACTTACTCAAACTCTCCTATAGGCTGTATATACATGTTCAGTTGTATCTTCTTGGTCACCTGCAGCACCAGACCAGTATACTGAAGGAAAAAATGGTTAAACCGAATCAGTATTATACTTAATTAGCATGCACTGAACAAAGGCGACAACAAACGTCCTTTCGTCTACAGTCATGGGTAGGCTTATTACTGGACAATAACAGCTGTTTATAAATTTATTTAACATCAATGAATATTGTGTGACTTATAACTAGACATGAACGTACTTCCAGATAAATACAGTATACATACTGATAAAGATATAGAGTTTTGATATAAAATATCAGAAAAGCAATCCTGTATTATAAATAGAGCAAACCATTATTCTAGCTAATGTTTTTGGTACACTAACTTGTTCCTAAGCAACCCTTACCCTATATTATAATAAGAGAGAACTGTTTATCTAGGTAATGTTTTGGTACACTAACCGGTTCCTAAGCAACCCTTACCCTATATTATAATAAGAGAGAACTGTTTATCTAGGTAATGTTTTGGTACACTAACCGGTTCCTAAGCAATCCTATATTATTATAAGAGAGAAACATTTATCTAGCTAATGTTTTTGGTAAACTAACTTGTTCTTAAGCAACCCTATATCATAATAAGAGAGAGAACTGTTTATCTACCTAATGTTTTTGGTTCACTTACTGGTTCCTAAGCAACCCTATATTATGGGTTGAGAAGACCTTTATTCTAACAAATATTTTATGTACTTACCGGTTCTTTGTCCACCATGGTCTGATGTTCCTCTTCTATAGGATCAAGTCCCTCTACCGAGTCTTTGTACTCCTGAGCAGCTAGGTTAAAGTGAGGGTAAGACAGTGACACCGGAATGTGGAAAAAGTCAACTAAAATAAAAAGAATTGAAGCCATCATTTATCTAAATGCTTACATTTTCTATTTTTCAAGTTAGCAAAGATTAGAAATATGTGTTGTGAGAACAAGTTTACCTTCAATTCATTCTACACTGCCTGTTTCTTTCATCAATAGCAGGCTTTCGGGTTACATTTCTATCTACACTGCCTGTTTCTTACATGCCATGAGAAACACAATGTTATATATTCTGGTGAAAAATTAGAGCATTCACAGTTTTAAAAAGGTTGGAAAATTAGAATGCTGCAAAATCAAAACCCTTTTCATGAAAACATAATTTCGTATTATGGTTATAAAGCCTGTCAAAATTCAGATAAATTGGTCAAAGATTAAAATGCTGAAAAACAGGGCAATACCTCCTTCAATAATATTTTAGCCACAGAGCCATTAAGATGATATTTTAGCCATGGAGCCATTAAAGAAACCACACAACATCACAGTTATAAAGTCCACAAAGTTCGAAAGAAATCAGTTGAAAAATGAGGGAGGTCACCAGACAAGATAAATACCAAGAAAACAACAAGGGGCATTAACTCTTTAAATTGAATCACCGACTGTAAGGCTGTATGTAAAACAATACACAGCTTTGACTACTGATCCATAAGGCTGTATGTAAGACCATACACAGCTTTGACCACTGATCCATACGGCTGTATGTAAAAACATACACTGCTTTGACCACTGATCCATAAGGCTGTATGTAAAACCATACACTGCTTTGACCATCAATCTTTAGGGCTCTCTATGACAGTAGGGCTGTATAAATAATTTTTTATCACTGAGAAAACATCCTTTTATAATTAACAAGAATTGTTTATCATCTGGCAAACCTCAAAATACACAAGCAGTAGTATCCATATTAAACAGGTTACATTACATCACACCATTAGGTCTATAATTATTTGACAGAGAGATCACAAGTCTGCAGTGATTTGTCTTGTAATGCACCCTATTTATGAAATATTGACCAAGATTGACCATCCACACCAACTGCAGTAAAGATACTCATCCAATCTTCCCAGAAATTACCTTTGCCAAACAAACATCACATGGAAACAGATGACACTGTGATAAGATTCTGAATAAAGCAACATTTAATCTTCGTTTATCATGTTTCATTCGCAGAAGAAAAAAATTGTCTGTTCTTTTGATGGTGTGAAACATTTGAAATAGTAATCATTGTGACACCAAGTTAAATACAAAACCAGAAGATGTTTCCTCAAAATATTTCATGTCATACAGTAAAATGTATCGATACAACTGACAAAAATTTTGACAGGCATATCAAAAAGAATCCCTGTACATTCACAATACAAGATAATCCTGCATGCTATTTTAGGGGAGATCACTTAAACTCTCACATGTATGGATGTACAAAGAAATGGGTATACTCAATAGTAATTTCCAGATAGTTTTATTTCACATTGATTTTAGCTTTGTCCAGTTCACAGTAATTGATTTGTACTAGCCTACATGACTTTACATTGATATCCTCGTTTACCAGCATATCCTATACACTTTTCATTTCCTGCTTCTTTTAATGACCTCTAATAGAGAGAAAATGCATCCTTCCTGAATATCACAAACTATGTGGTATTGATAATGATATTGTTCTAACTTTTCAGTTTATTTCCCTAGAAATATGTCATAGAGTTTGCAAACCTGATATTTGTGACATCATACACATGGATACACACCTGTAAATCATTAACCTTAATATAGTTACCACAAATAGAATTCAATATCTAATTCTATGGGGCTAGCATCTTATATAAATCTGGATGTTTAACTGGGTTTTGTTACATTAAACTGTCTACTTTGGCCTACCTTGCTGACATGTACTAATATTTAACATTCCAGTGTTGAGACACTTGGACTCTGGCGTACAGAACCCTATGTTGTCTGGATTAACAGTGGCGTTGGCCAGGTAGGATGGGGGTGCGATGTAGCGCCATAGTTTTATCCCCTGGGGAGATGTAACTTCCTTACTGTACATTCCTGCTGCTGATCTGTAAGACAAATTATTGTCACAAGTAAAACCCTCAAAAAAGAAATACATAGCAATCGTTTTCAAAACTTTCTGTTAAATATTATTTAAACAACAATTATTTGCAGCAAATTGAATTTTTCCATCAATTTGAATTAAGAATCAAAAGTTATTAAGTGCAAGCAATTCTAAATAGTTTTAACATGATACAGGACAAACATTAAAAACTTACCTGCACACATCAGAGGAAAAAACAGGAGACGGTTCCTTCTTGTCTCGGTATGGAGGTCCTATGGTGCCATCTACAAAACACCAACAAAAATCTCTTACATTTGTCTTAGATACAACACAACTGATACTTTGCTGTGTGAAATGCAATCTGTTTACATTACTATTCTATTCAAATAGCATATAAGATAAGACAAGATGGTATTCATACGTGTCAAATGTACCATATTACTTATGTTATGATCCGAATATGTAGAGTTATCAAAGGTCAATAACTATGTAAAGAAAAAGTCCACATTTTAAGAAGTAATACATCGTGAATAAACCTCTAGATATAGATCCAATCATCAGATGTTATAACATAAGCACATAGATATAGATCCAATTATCAGATGTTATAACATAAGCACATAGATATAGATCCAATCATCAGATGTTATAACATAAGCACATAGATATAGATCCAATCATCAGATGTTATAACATAAGCACATAGATATAGATCCAATCATCAGATGTTATAATATAAGCTCAATCATTTTATTTCCTCCTCACCTAAATGAAATTTCCCTGAGGACATTATGTCAAAGATACTTACCTGTTCCATTAATCATGTTGGCATATGGTGTGCTCCAAAAATCCAGGTGCCTAGAACGAATCAACAAGACATCATGTGGTTTATGTAATAGTAATAACAATACTACAGCATGGCTTTGGAATTTCAAGGGTTTCAGAAAAAAATGGGCACTTGATTTTTGTGGATGAGTAGAAGTCACAAAATCCACCAATAATAAAAGTGTAATGTAAAATTTCCAACAGTTAATTGATTTGTGGACATACCTGGATCCATTATAACGATCAATCCCGCCCAAGTACTGGATGTCTGTCTCTCCTGTATATATTGTGTATATACCATCATTTGTAGCATTCTTCTGTAAAATCAAAATGAAATGTACACTAGTTTACATCTCTAGCTGGTTACATCTAATATTTTATAGCTTAAGCTAGACCTGGATATCAACACAACTGATATTGTCAATTGGAGCTGTGCTTATGCACCCAGCTTTCACTTAAGCAACCAATAATTGATTCTCCAATGAGACAAGCAAAGGTATAGGGTCATCTGCCTGACGTTGAGGGTTTTCCTGCTTACTACAATTTTGTCACATAACAAGACACCATTTTTGCTTCAATACGAGTCATCAGGAGGGAGTGATATAAGTTGATATATCTTGTTTCACAGTTTATGTAAAATAAATAAAAATGTGTTCCTTATATCAACTTTACAGTATATTGTGACTATCACTGAGTGTATACCAAATGATATGCTTAGTTAGATCAGCCAATCATCACCATGTTCTACACAATGAACTGCTGTGTTACATTACCGTTACTTACATTCATGAAGTACCCAATGACATCAGTGTAGAACCAATCCCTGTCCAGATCTTGAGCGGCAGACAACATTTTATCCTGATAACCCCAGATTATAAATGATATGCTTAGTTAGATCAGCCAATCATCACCATGTTCTACACAATGAACTGCTGTGTTACATTACCGTTACTTACATTCATGAAGTACCCAATGACATCAGTGTAGAACCAATCCCTGTCCAGATCTTGAGCGGCAGACAACATTTTATCCTGATAACCCCAGATTATATCATACATGCTGCGATTCATAAACACACTCTCCTTCTCATACGAGGTGACAATTCGTATAATTTCCCGTACTCCAGGAAACATCCACTTCAGTGACGATATCAGTGACTGTAACACATAATTGACACATTTTAAAATCAGTGAGATGTGGAAATACTACAGTAACACTTAAAATCATCGAACACATTGTCACAATTAAAGCTGACAACGCTACAGGTCCCATTCACTGAGTCAACCTGCGAGGAAAACATACATGTCATAGCTACCGTATAATATTTAAATGCAAGAGGAAGTTCCGTCGTGTGTTTTCAAAGTCAAGCTATCAATGCTGTTAATATCTGTTGAAGAAAACTTTGACAGCTGATTAATATCTCACTTGATTAATCAGGAAAGAAGACCTTATCCAAATATTTATAAATACATCATTGACATCGATTGACACATATACTGCTGACACTTTGGAGGTAAATTACTGACCCAGTACACAGGATTGGGTGTGATAAAGGTGTCATTTTCATCTCCGACTGACATGTTACGAACAAAGTGGAAGGTGCGGTTCTGTCTGTAGCTCACTGTCCCATTGTTATTATGTTTGATGTCGAATTTTGTCCTCACCTCCCTGGAATGATAAAAGCATACACTAAACACTCATGGACTATTTGACGGTTACAAGTATTTTCTTCTTGAAGATGATGTACGTAGCATAGGAGATAGTAAGGTCTTGACCAGCTTTTCAGCTGTGCTATAATCCTATGTACACTAAGGTAGAAAATGGTGTGACGAGATGGTACACAGATTATAGACCAAAAAACACCATCTGGTACACTGTATACGTCAGTCAGTGCTCGTACACTCCACATTGGTCCTTTGTCTGATGAAGATGTAGTCATCGAAATTTCATACTCAAATCATCTACTGGTTCTGTTATAAGAACTTCTATTCTACTGACATTAATTACCAACTTGAAGCAAATGTTCCCAAGTATTAGTGGTAGAACAATGGCCACCACTTTTGCCTCAGCAGTGCTCGGTAAAGGCTGTCGTACCTTCCATTCTGAATATTAGACATGTCTTATAAACTTTTTAAAAGTAAATTCCAAATAGTCCAATATCTGTGACAAATAAATTCTCTGTCATTACTTGGGAGAATATTCCGTAATTTATCAAGAAATTTATAATTTGATAGGCAAAATTTCAAAATCTGCCAGCAAGCGAAGCACTCTGTCAAACTTATGCTTCCTGTCTGAACTGAAGTAAAACATACTCTACATGACTATATCACACCATCAGAAAAGCAGATTCACCCAAACAAGAATGAAACCATTTAAGTTTAACCCGTCTTTGAATTCTTTTGTACCAAATATGTGATTCATATGAAAACATCAGGAGTGGTTTTTATTTTGTGTTACTGTAATATTTTAAATGGCTATCAAGACGGTCAAGCTCAAACACACATACCCAACAGGTGTATCTATAAATGTAAGCACTTTCAACAGCAGCAACAGAAAGGACAAATTAATTGTCAAGTCTTCTGAGTGACTTGTTTCTTTTTTTCAAGACATAAGTATCTTGGCAAAAGTAACCATGTATAAGTGTAACACACAAAATATATGCTACCTATATGATTTTTTGTATGAAATGAAGAACCATTCTATGCGTTGAGAATATCATCTGTTCACATCAAATCTCAGAGTAGGGTCATCTGATTGGTTGCTATAATACCTATATGTATATGTTACCTGTATGTGTAGGGTCCCTTCTGCTCCACAAAGGGCTTTTTGCCTTTAAGTACCTCCTCTGGATTTTTAACATCAAACATATAGAACTGCATGTATATCGGTATGGGTGTATCCTTCCATATGTTATACGTGGCCCCTCCCTCCACCAGGACAACATTCTGAAAACAAGTCAGAACAAGGTAGTAAAAAAACATTTCTTATTATTTGTGACTTATTTTGTAAGTCATAACATATGTATTCATATGTTATGTTTCATTTTTTTCAATTCAATATAGTTTACTAGATGTTATATACAAATATGCCCTAAGAAAATCAGAGCACTGCAGACAAGTCACCTATCTGCACGGGCCTGTGTACCTATAGCATTCCTGACAGAGAACTTCCATAATCAGTATATATACATATATATTAATCACATAATAGAAGTTACACCAAAGACCATGGGTAGACTCGGAATTCAAAACAGCATCCACCTTGACATTCTGACATAATGACTTTCACCACAGGTTAACTGAGTTTTTCGTGAGACCATAAAAATGTACATTTATATGATGATCAATTAAGAAGTAAAAGTTTGACCTTGACAATTGACCTTGACTTTGGGTCTGTTGATTTATATATTAAATCCAACAACTTTCAAGGCTTGATGTCATAAAACAAATACAATTTAAAAGATAAAAAAAATGACCTTGGGCTAGGACCTGATGACTATGACCAAATAATTCATGTGAGCATTTCTGGATTTCCTTAAGTTAGTATCTAAATACAGTTTTGCAAGCAATTCTTACCAGAAAAGAGTGTAAAGTGGTAGAATTCCATGTGAAGCAGCTTATTCTGAATGGTGTTGTCTTAATGGCAACATCAGTGACTTTAAAGAATGTTCTAAAATCTTTGAGCACTGGTTTATTATGTTTTTATTCTTTAAAATTGTAAGAAAAAGAAAATTTAAAGGTTTCCCATTAAATATCATATATATTTAATTCATATGACAGAACATATGTACATTTTTCACATGTGCATATAGATATTTTGTCATATTTGTAACATATATATGATATTAAACAAGAAACCATTAAATAGCTTCTACACATCACAAAATCCCACACATACTAACTATATATCTACCTGTTCTACTTCATGTTTGATGAACCAATCCACCACTGGTACCATCACACCTCCAAGGACACACAGAATTAAACTGATACAGGAACATATCAGGACTTTCTTCTTCACAGTCCAATCCATAACGAGCTCCTGAGGACTGTCCTGTTCCTGTAGTGTAATGGGTAGGGTAATCAACAATCCATGTAATTTCTACTCAAGGATGGGGGGATATGACAGTTCCCCAATTGCAAACAGCTTGGAAATAACTGTTTTACAACACAATGCTCTATTTCAGTAACATTAACAACTTATCATCATCCATGCAGATTTCAACACTGTTGATAATTTATTTCAACTCAGCTGATTTTTTTCAGAATCAATCAGCACCCTTTTTTGTATGCAGCAATTCCTAAATTACTAATTGAATTAACTCTTCCTTAGGTCTTCCTGATTCAAACTTTATTGCACTTATTGCAGAAGAGCAGGAACATTTTCTTTTTTGGATTGAAGGTTACTTTCTAGAATATAGCCTTTTAAAAATCTTCACCAGATGTGATGACTTGTAATGCTGATATTGGAAAGGAGACATAGTGGATTCAAAGCTTATTCTGGTGTTAACTTTTGTGGTTGTTCACTGAGCCATGATGTCATCAAAGCCTTCCCTCCTCATTACTAACCTGTACATTATGTTGACCAGTGAGAAGTGTAGATCATTTTCATAACAAAATCACTCCATATAAATCAAAATGACTGATGTTGAAAGTAAGATTTTCAAAGTGAAAGTTACTCAGCTATTTAATGCCACTGATTCAGAAAAGGTTTTCTTTACATTTCTGAAAGCAGAGTAAAATTGTTTCACTGATAGGATAACGTTTTGTTTTAAACAACAAGTAAGTAACTTAAACATGCTTTTCATCAGAAATATACCCCCCCCAAAAAAAAAAAATATAGAAACTGTTGTCACCAAAGTTAGCATGTTGAATTTGAAAATTATTCAGCTTTCTACTAACATTCATTTTGAAACATTTTGTAGAAAAATGGTATAAAACACAGCAAGGCTAGTTATCTTCAGTTTATTTCCTAAAGTTTACATTGAAATGTTGACAGTCTCAAGCTCCTACCCCTTCAATCACATAAATGCATGTCTCTGCTTAAGTTAAAGTCAAATTTCGTATGTCTTAATATCATGTTATTATATATACCTACTGCTTTGAACCGTCAGAGAGGTATCATTTTGAACGAGTTCATTACCCTAAACAACTGACAGTCACATTAGACTTGTTAGAATCCACAGTTACTTGCATCTGGAACAGTCGAATGTAAACTTCAGATTATCTTCTTTGATAAGAAGGACTGGAGAAAGAAGTAGTAAACACACAGAGTAAAAAACCAGTCAACAATAAATTTTCCATAAATTGCATGAGTAGACTTATCTATATTCCAGATACATGTGCTTGTGGTAGAATAATACTGGTTGGTTACACTACCGTCTGTTCCGAGAAAGCTTAGTAGCCGAAGTCTAGTTACATTGACTGGAGTGACAGGATCTGACGTTCTGTCAAGCACAAGTCGTTCTGGGATGCGAAGTTGTATTCGCCGTGTTTACATTGTTAGACTGAGAGACAGACTACTGCATGGTAATGACACGTATTCCAACTACCTCTCATTGTTATGACAATGCTTTACCTGACTGATGAAGAACAGTCCCGTTTCACCGTCCAACACGTTACATACGTTTTCTGAAGGAGCTAAATGAGTTACCAGCCAGAGGTTTTCTCAGCCGGTGTACATAGAATTTCACGAACTGATAATTCCATTGATCATAATTATTTCATCATTTGAAATAATACATTTTTCAATATCATAATGTGTTTATATAATTCTATCGCTAATAGGATAAATGAAGTGCCATAAACGATTTATTGTTGATTAATTCAATACATAAAAACATCATTACGCCTCCATCAAGCGTTCTAATGAACATGATTCATGACAAAATTATTATGGTAAGAATTTCAGTATACACCGAATCCAAGTAAACAATCCAGAAGTCGAAGCTCATGGAACGAGCATTTTTGATACAAGAACCCTTGTATAATGAATATGCGATTTAAAGAGTGTAGGTCTTTAAAATATAATTTATTTGTGATAATCACATTTTCTTTTGGTGTATTGTATCTCGTTACATGCTAATTTGATCAGTTCCATTGGAAATAAGGCACATACTGTAGTGGATTATGGGCTATCGTATGTATTAACAGGATTTTTTTTTTCAAATTCCATTTAGTAGACCCAGAAATTTTGTTTCAGATATAGATATTGTAACAATAATTATAATATGTGCTATCTAAATGTACATAATGTGTACTTATTCTTTATCAATTATTAATTATCTGTAATCTAATGTAATTTGTGATGTGATTTTATGACTGTCATGTATTTTACCTGAAGAAATATTATAATTATTTTGAAATTTAACCGGCACATCAAAGATTATTATAGAGATAAGCATTCTGAGTAAGGCTGCAATTATAAAAGGTTTGTAACTGAGATGGTTTCTCTAAGAAGCCATGATCAATGTAACTATATGCTGGAAAGTTGATTCAGTGTGGTTATAGATACCCTGTACATGTATATACACTTTTTACGTGTATATCAAAAATGTACAATGCACAGAGCATATATTTCAAATATTTAAATTCAAATACATGTAAATTTAAGTTTTCCATTAAAATTACAGAAATGATAAATCTAACTAGCTATTATAATAATAAAACCTTTGAAGAAATATATAGGGCTTATGTACAAATGTACAATGTAGGGTTGCCACAGGTTAAAGAATGCATGGCTGAAAGAAGGAAGAATGTAGAAGGAATTAGCCAAATGACCACTGGATTTCAAAATAATACAAATGTAAAATTCTATTGCACAGAGTTTCTGCTAAAACATTTTTGGACTTTCTTCTTGACAATATAATTATAGCAGAAAGACTTATTAATGTGCCTTTTCAAAATTGTTTGCAATTTTATTCAAATGTTGCCTTGAAATGCAATTGTCAACCTTGGCATATTATTACCACCATCTGCATATCTAGTTCATAGCTAACAATAGCCATGTACCCGGTTTAAGTCATTTGATCAAGAATATCTATCTGTTTGGAGGTCCATTATTCATATATATTCTGGTCTAGCAGACAGTGTTGCATTTATTGAAAGTGTCTCATTTAAATATGACATTCTGACACCCAAAAATGAGTTTGATTTGTGGGTTTGATTGGACACGTCAATATTTCATGTATAAGTATGTTTTGACCTATTTGTGGTTTGACTTCTGAAATTGCTAAGTTTTAAATGGATGCCCTGCTCTTTCTACAGCACAAATCTGCAGTAAATAATTGGTACTGAGATGCTGAGGTTTGAACTTTTTACAACTCAGTTGTTGAAATCAAGTAATGACAAACAAAGAAATTTTCAAACACAAAATAAACATGCAATATTAAATGTTTATCATTGTTATAGAAATGTTATGTTTTACCATTGTAGGTGTGGCACAATAAACACCAACAAATACTAATGATAAGATTCGTGTTTTAAACTGAGACAGAGAAATATACAATCAAGATGTCAAAAACAACACGGGTACGTATATTGTGTGTTCTGGGAGAAACCAAACAAGATGGAGAATTAGTTTAATGTTACACTATTTACTAAAATCTTTAGGACATGATAAAAGTGCATTAAGCATCAGTCGGTTGTTTTAGTGTAATTGTGTGTTGATAACAAATCTAGTACCTGGTAATTATAAATCAACATTTAGAACTCGTGAGGATATCATGATTTAACATATTGCGGAAATCTTCATGCTTGATCCAAAAACATTATGGGTTACAACAGTATTTTTTTTAAATTAAAAAGTAAACATAGAATTTAAAACGAAGATTATCTGTCTAGAAATGATGGGGATTACAGGTCTTAAAGAAATAAAATGAAAAACAAGTTTTGTTTCTAGGATAATATACTTTATGAAGAATGATGCTTGTGTTGCAGGTCCCAGGCTACATGCAAAGTAAAGCTGCGAGGAATGCCAGAGGGATAATTGGGTAATGATATCATGTTGACAAATAATTGTATATCTGTGCTTGTACCTTCCTGAGTTATGTGATCACCAATCTATAAACATGTATCATTTCTATAGTTTTAGAATACCCAGTGATTAATACCAGGCAGAGATAGTTATTTGAGGCTTTGTGTTTTGTGTAACAAACATTTTCAGCAATGATATAATGTATACACATACATCCTTTATATTTTATCATACATGGAAATATGTTAAGAAAGTTATATGAATGATGTGGGATGATTATTTTAAATCAACTTTAAACATCAATGATCTCTTAAACAAATTCATCTTTATTTTACCTTGATTCCAATATCTTTCAAACTCCACAAGTAAAACTGATAAATTTTCATTAACTGTCTTGCGTTAAACACAGACAGAAATTATCTGGACAATAACAGACTAGAGATTAGAACCTGGAATACAGTGATATTATAAAATACATTACAGGGACAGAGAAATTCGGTTCAAGTGCTCATTACAGAACACGATATTAGATGTGTTACGTGGCCGACCCGGTTGGCAGGAGGTTCCGGGGTAAGTAGTGTGACCTGTTTCTTACTTATCAATGTGTGCCCTTGTGGATGATACTTTGACTTTGTATAAAACAATAGATTCAAGAATCTGTCTGAAACACCGTCCTTTTTATGTAGATTTTAAGAACACTATTGAATTTGTTTGACTATAAACAATTCACATTACATAGAAGATTTAGAACAGTCAGATTTTGAAATTTGAATTACATAGAACTTTTCACATAGTTTAACTTTTAATTTTGAAATTGCTGTGAAATTAGTTTGGTAATCATAGATAATTAACTCACATATTTTTTTTCATCTCAGCTCTTTAGAAGTATCACCATCCAAATTAAAATTCATAAAACTGTACTGGGGTGAATAGAATTATTAACAAATCATGTTTGTTGTAGTGTGTAAAATTGTTGTCCAAGTTGTGTGTTGTGTACTTTTTTTTAACCACCTCAGGAAATATGTTGTACTGTGTGTCTGTACCCACAGAATGTCTGTACTGAAGGGAAATACTGAAAATTAGTCTGGTTTTTGATACATTGCACGATATACCTGAAGTCTTATTTAGATCTTGTGTAAATATTAACTGATGGTTTTCAGTCCAAATATCCAACAACAAAATGCTCAACAAAATAGTAGACCTGCTGCTGGGTAAGTTATTGGTTACCATAGCAACACTGTTACCATGGATATCATGTATGTGTATACAATGATAGATCTAAAATGGTAGTAAAATCCATTCTTTCTATCATGGTTACCATAGAAACATCTATTTCTGTGACATTGTGGTTGCCATGATACTGTTGTAGTTAGAGTAACATTTAGCCATTATTACGAGATCACACTAACATATACCGCCTGTAGAATATCTTATTTACACATGTATCTCTGGTAGGAAATCTTACATATACCACTTAGTTACTATCACCACTGATATAACCCCTACCTAACAAAGACTGAGGTATCAGTCCTTGAAACTTAGCCTCACTGTCATTGACCATTTATCACAATACCTGCCTGACCTCTCCATACTAGTATTCACTGATACTGATCATAACCTATAGTGATAATAACTAAACACAAATATAACCAGATGTCACCTAAAGGCACTAAAAAGTTGGGACTAGTATATAAATGTCATAGAGAGATAGGACTAGTATGTAAATGTCATAGAGAGATAGGACTAGTATGTAAATATCATAGAGAGATAGGACTAGTATGTATATGTCACAGAAAGATGGGACTGGTATGTGAATGCCTTGATTTACACATGTTACTGTGACGTCATATTGACTATAGAACAGTACACTGTTAAAACATCCTGTAACATGTAGTGATTTATCTCAATTGAAAAAGTGAAGTAAATTAATCATCACTGAACTAAGTGTGGTATTCATAGTAATATGAACGACAGATTTCAGGCAAATATTCAATTTTTCAATACTGCTCATTATTTTTTCCTGTAAAGCTTTGTCATTCATAGCATCTATAAATGCCACTGGTTGTTGGTGAAATTATTTATCATTTTCAATGTCTCTTCCACTCTACATTAGTAAAGAAATGAATACTGGTATCAGTTAGATAAACCAAAGAAAACCAATAGCTGATAAAAACCAGACTAAGTGGGGGTAGTCAGGTCTATTAGACCACAGAGAAAAGTGGACTCAGAAAAATTGTAAAAAGCAGTCCATAACTACCAGACAAAGGTGTTGATTGCATATTGTAATTTAGCCAGTGCTTTGTACCATTATATTGATAATAAAAAAAAATAGAAATTTTCGGTAGAAGCATCCATCTAAAATCGATGAAATGATATGAGTGTTGAATCCCTAGGTCTCTTGATTTTATCATATAGAACTTCTGGTTTCATAGGTCGTTTTCTTCAGTAGTTCACCTTGTCTTAAACGATCAAATATCAAACTGTAACTGTCATGGTGAAGGTCGTTTTCTTCAGTAGATCACCTTGTCTTAAATGATCAAAGATCAAACTGTAACTGTCATGGTGAAGGTTGCTTTCTTAAGTAGTTCACCTTGTCTTAAATGAAAAGATCAAAGATGTAAAGCCTTGTTTCAGTTGTCAGTGATCCACACTTAATAGTGTTAGTTTACAGTTGTCAAACCAAATTTTCTTTTTAAAAATTTTCAGTTAACATACATGTATAATGTCTGGCCATTTGGTATTGGTTTTGTTGAAGAGAGCAGAATCATTTGTCAGATATAATAGTATAGAGGGAATAGTTTTCTGTTCTTGGCATACGTGTGATTATCATGGATCAATCAATTATATATGGATATATAGAATAACTGACACAAACAGGTACAGAAGTTTACTGTTGGTAAAACAATGGTAAGTGTTTTGAATGTGATGATGGTGGTTTAACAGCTCAATATAGTCTTGTGGAGATGGAGAAAGAGTTTGGAAGTCTCCAGTGTGTTGGAGTTAGAGAAAAACTATGTCAGATTAAAGTGATGATAGTAAAATGGAGTTTTCAGTGCCCTGTCACACCGGTATATCAAGTTTCTGATGTACAGTGATAATGATAAACCAGCATTTTGAGTGTTCTACGTTCCAGCTCCCAAACTTCGACACAACAACAGGAAGGAAAGGGCAGTAAGACAGGGTGAGTCTACATTGCCTTCCTTACACTGGAACATGTTTCAGCAATTATTATTCTTGTTTTGTTGACTGGGTTTTACATTCAAGTTGCAAAGACATTTTCCACAACATGTAATCCTGAATGTGATTTTTAAAACAAAATTTCATCAACAATATTTCTATTTTGTTTCACACTTTACCTGTTTTTCCATATTTCTCAGAATTATATATAATGGCCATTAATTTCAGCATCTTCTGGTTGTGTATACTTATGTTCCATTACAGTACAATTTCCTGGTGAATGTATCAGGATAACATTATGACAAATAAAATATTTGATTGCCATCCTGTAATCTAAAAATTTTGTTATCGTAGCAACTTGTTATCACAACCACTTGTTACCATAGCAATTTCTTACCACGGTCATCAAGATGTTACCATAGCAACTCATTGCATAGCTATTTACCCATTTTGTTATTTGTTACAGTTCTACAGGTACCACCCCATCAAATACACAAAATTCCCCCGCCACATCCGGCGGAAAATCTGGGTGAGTGTCAGCTTGTCTGATTGGCTGGCGAACGTGCATGTACAGTAGCTGGCCTTTTACACATCTGATTACTAGCTTTCTTTTTCCTCTGGTGATAGATAAAAAAATAGCTCTAATTTCTGCCAATTAAAATATCTCTGAAGAATAAATCAACTTTCATCTATAGTTAAATGTTGTATGAAGAATTAAAAGTCATTCTTGGTTCTGATTTCCAAAGCACAATACATTCTATTTTGTAATAATTGTCTTTTAACTCTGATGCACAATGATTAAACTTCTCCTGTCTAAAAGTAATCTATTACTTAACATCTGAAGCATGACTCTACTTACTTGTATTAAACATATATACATATATAAATATTACTTTTTTATCTTTTTTAATCCCCTATCTTGTATATCAAAATCAATTTCTCTAAATCTCTCTAAATCTCTCAAAATCTCTGAAGCACAACTTTACTTGGTACTTAACCATCTAATGAGATATGGTAAAACCTGTACTTCCAACAAAGTCACCTTCACTATACCTTGTAAGTCAGAAGGTGGACTTTCCCAGAAGAACATTTACTTAACATAGATAGTGGTTTCCCTAATTCTATCTTGGAAGCATGCCTATTCCGACTGAATTTCCGTCTATTTTATCAAATGTTATATTGTCTAAATCTTATAGCTCTTGCATGTCCTGGTTTAGATCATTTTAAATTATTGCACTGTGCACATTTTGAAGGCTTTGAAGCTGAAAATTTACCATAAAATCTTCAGAGTTAATTGATTACATGTAAACAATATATAATTTTGGTAGATATTTGATATAAGTTACTTGGCTTTGTGGTTTTGTTTTTATGCTGCATGTATATCCTATAAGTTGAAAGCTTTGCAGCTTGTTTTATAAAATTTTTAAAAAATACACAAGTTTTTATGTTTTTTACAAAACCATCATGTGATAAAAAATCAAATTTTATGTTTAATGCATTATATGATGACTAAATATATAAAAAAAGTGACAGTAATCTCACAGCATAGAAATTGTAGAGAACGTGAACTGTCTTTTTATTGTGCTAGAAATGGTTATGAATCCTAGAAACCATATAGTTAGCTATGCTGGTGTATATTGTTGAGGTAAAATTTATACTTCTGATTGAGGTTTTAAAATAGTTAAAATGTATTATTGTTATAATACAGTACTTCTGTATGTTTATAATGAATTGACTGTTGTACAGTACTAAACCGACAGTATCGTCTCAGCCCGCGGGACCCCAACAACAATCGGGCGGGGTCCCCAGCAGAATTGGGTGAGTTACGGCACAGGGTGTACAAACATGGCTGTTTGTGGTCAAAGTAAACATGTAAGGTCTAGTTTAAGAGTAGAATCTTTGGTGTTTTATTGCAATTTTGGGTGTTCTGGTCATGTGACGTAATTCACTATGGTAACCTATCTACTGCATACAAATTTAAAACCATTTTCGTCTTTTTAGATTTTAATTTAATTTGACAATTGTAAAATTCTGGTCTTTGTAGAAGGCAGTTGTGTTATGGCTTTGAATACTTATGTATTTCATATATTTTACACTTTACTGAAAAAACTGGTTATGAAACTTGTAAAGATTTTTCACTTTTTAATCTTTCATTATTCTAGATTTTATCATGCACGCAGAACTGATTGTTATTGAAAACAAATTTTACATTATTACCATTTTCGTTCCTCCAGAAAAAATCAGAAATATATTCCCAATAGTGTTAAGTGTTAATGGGCTGTTTAGAGGTGATCATTTCATCACAGGAAAAAGTCATTAGGATGTCCGTTTAAAATGACATCATCATTTCTTGGCTGATTCAAAATTAAGGAACATTAGTTATCCTTTGTATTTAAGGTATTAAGAATGGTCTAAATGAATAATAATAGATAATGATAGATAACTTCGCATCAGTTACAGTATGTCCCATTTATATTCTAATAAATGAGAAATTTTTGTGCTTTACCCAGAAATATATATTAGATGAGCTATTCGCATTTTAAGTTCTCAGAGTCGATGTGATTTGGAAATCCATCGAAAGTTATCTTACGAATTGTTGTTGTAAATGGTTACAGTACTAAATCAACCTTGTCGCCTCAGCCCGCGGGACCCCAACAACAGTCGGGCGGGGTTCTTAACAGAATCGGGTGAGTCCTGACATAAGACTCGTACCAACATGGCCGCTTGGCATATTATCATACAAGTATATGCATGTAAATTGTAGTGATATATTAGAAAAAATTACCTGTATCCTATCTACATAAATATGTCCTTATGTTACACTAAGGTATATTTTTGTAACTATGTATACTCTATTCACTCTGATAAGGTTTAATATATCAGATATATTTTTCTAACTTTACTCTCCATCTATACTCTTTTCAGTCTGTTAAGGTTCAACATACTTGATATTTAGAGCAGTAAAATTTTAGAAGTGGTCTTATCTGAGTGTTTTTCTGCACCGAAATCATTGTGTTAAAGTATGACTGCACTTCTTGTCACTTCTATTTTATGTGTAAAACAATTACTACTGATGTGAGAATTAATCGCTGTTCAATATAGCTGAAAAGTGAGTGATAATACTCCAAGGTTTGGTTGCGCTGTATGATATATTAATATTATCATCTTGATGTATAGATTTTGTTGTAAAGGCTGAAAATGCAGAAAAATAATTGACTTGCAAAATAAAAGTAAAGTATAGTTTTTCAACAGAAAATATAATAATTGGATAAAATTAGGTCACTTCTGAAATGCTATGTGTGTTATTCAGTGGATGTAAATACTTGATACTTCTCTGTAATTAATCCTGACTTATTCCAATACCTTGTAGGTGGTTTTGTTGAACCTTAATATGTATTGATTCTTTGGGAAGTACCTTATAATTATGTATCAATCTTCACTAATATGTCTTCTGGAGGTTTTATACTGAATTTTATCTATCAATACCTAATCTTTCTCCTAACGCTATATTTGTGTATCTTTATTTTATCTACTTTCCATAGCTTATACTTATTAACCAGCAATATTTACTCCACAAGAGTAAATACCCAGTAATAACAAGAGACATGATCCGTAATATTTGTCTACTACAGAACAAGATTTTACTAGTTCAGTTTTGCTGCTCTAGAATTAAGTCCTATAAAGATATAGAAATTTTATTCTACTGTAAAGATATTATGTTGAAACTGGATGTCAAGGTAGATAACTCTCACAGGTAATTGAATTTGAAAAGATTGACATTCGGCTATATAAGAAGGTGAGTGAGACCTACCATACTTAATGTTTTAAATGTGTTTGGTGTCAAACAACACATCAAGCAAGATTCTAAGTCCCTGTTGCCACAGAGAGGGACATGGACACCGTTTATTAAAGGAAAGTTATAAGTATGTTTCAACTATTCAACCATTGATTTATCATGTTGATTTAGTATGGAGTGAAAAGCTTTAAGAGCAGTGGTCCAGAAGATAGAAGTTAAACAGGGTATTCTAGTAGATTGTAGCTTAAGGGAAAACCCAGAGTGATGTTGAAGAGGAAATGCAGTAGAGTGAAGTGAAAACAGGAAAAGCAAGGGACGATAAAGGGGAACACTTCAGTAGAGTGATGATAAACAAACAACTCACAATTTATAGTTGATATTTGTTTATGTCAATTATGTATTTGTATCAAAAGCTAACATGTTTAAAAAGCAATATTGAAAAATGAAAATAGCATACATGTTATTACTAATGTATGGGACACATTAAACTTACCCATACTTATTGTCTTTCAATACATTGATAACCAAATCCATGAGAGTTTTTATATATAGTACATATTTTGGAACAATAGCTTATCAAACTTATAAATACTTTATCATCCTATATAAAGCTTGAAATCACTATGTTCCATGCACCTAATTAACAGAAAAGCCAATAGAGATCTGGACACCATTGATTAAATTAATAAAGAGCTTTGTATGTTTATTAGAAATTAGGTAATCAGAAAATTTGGTATCAGATGTATAAATTCTGCATCTGTATAGCCCAAACAAAATGTCCTGTCACCTTATGAATATTCATATGTGGCAATTTTCTCCATTCTTATGTATACTGATCTTGTTAGATATGGTGCAGTTCATGGCCAAACATCATTCCAGCGATCAGTCTCCTCGGGCAATTGATCAACATATGTTCCCCACATGAATATCAAACTTTCCTGTGATCAGTATGATAATGAAAGATGAACATGATGGGTCATTCTGGAAGGACAAATTAATGAAATTTAAACCTGGACCTGTTGTTTGGATGAGTTGAATTTTATTGTAGTTTACAAAAGAAATGGTGATAAAGCACATAAACCACTTACTGCAATATCTCTGTATTATTGGTGTCCAGACTCACAAGGCTGTATCTCAAAGCTAATTATCTTTTGTCTTAATACCAAACCACACCTTATGCAATCATATCAATATTTTGGCAATGAATTTTGAATTTTGTTAATTAAATTGGATGTTTATCATTTTCAAATACTGTACCAAGTGTTTGGGGTCTGGGTCCAGCTGTTGTTATAGTGCTGATACGTAATAGTGTTGTTAGGTCAAATTTTTAATCTTTAATGTTTTTTTGTTTTGAGATTTGTTTATAAACACAGGTACTGAATTTCAATGATTAGGAAATATTTGAAAATAATTTGGTAACATTACCATGAAACAGCTGACAAGACCCAGACTTTTTCAAACATCTGTCTTGGTATGTAATTTTGTATTCCATTCTCAGACGTTGTATATGTTATCATATAATGAATTGATATTGAATATGTAATTAGTGATGTAGGTATATTTATCTATATCCTGTGTATTAGACAGTCATCTATAGAAGGTAACATGTGATGTAATGATATATATATATATATATTTATATATGATAGGTATGTATATAATTATAAAGGTATGCAGTCACACATGTGTTTTGTAGTATCATAAACTAGATGGTATTAATTTCTGTTCTCCTTCAGAATATCTATAGTTTCATCAGTAGTGTACTAGCTTCTACATTGTAGTTAAAAAGTCTTGGGATGAAATGACATCCTAATTCAAAATCTGTTGAAATTTACTGGTCAAATGTCCCCGACATCCTACTCCAAAATCTATCAAAATCTATTGGTCAAATATCCCCTGATGTCCTACTCCAAAAACTGCTAAAAACCAGCTGTCAAACATTACCTGATAACCTACTCCAAAAAGTACTAAAATCTAATGGTCAAATTGCCCTGACATCCTACGCAAAAAATGTTTTTAAAAATCTAATGGTGAGACATCCCCTGACATCCTACTCCATAAAGTAGTAAAATCCAATGTTTAAGCATCCCCTGACATCTCTTTTCAAAAACTATTAAATTCTAGTGGTCAAACATCCCCTGACATCTCTTTTCAAAAACTATTAAATTCTAGTGGTCAAACATCCCCTGACATCTCTTTTCAAAAACTATTAAATTCTAGTGGTCAAACATCCCCTGACATCCTGCTCCAAAATCTCTTAAAATCTAGTGGTCAAACATCCCTTGACATCTTGCTCCAAAATCCATTAAAATCTAGTGGTCAAACATCCCTTGACATCTTGCTCCAAAATCCATTAAAATCTAGTGGTCAAACATCCCTTGACATCTTGCTCCAAAATCCATTAAAATCTAGTGGTCAAACATCCCTTGACATCTTGCTCCAAAATCCATTAAAATCTAGCAGTCAAACATTCCCTGACATCCTACTTCAAAAGCTGTTACAATCTAGTGGTCAAACATCCTCTGACACTCTGCTCCAAAATTATCAAAATTTAGTGGTCGAACATCCCCTGACATTCTGCTCCAAAATTATCAAAATTTAGTGGTCAAACATCCCTTGACATTTTGCTCCAAAATTATCAAAATTTAGTAGTCGAACATCCCCTGACATTCTGCTCCAAAATCTACACATGAACAGCTTTAAAAAGGGCAGAAATTTGTGTCAGTCACTTTTCCCTCATCTTGTCCTGTGAAGTAGAATTTTGTAGTGCTGTACTTTTCTGTTTACAGGGGTATGAACATTTTGTAACTGTCATTGGATTTGACACATGTCAGGCTAATCCACACTGTTATCTAACCACAAGGTTTAACCTTGACATCCAATAATATCACTGTACTGTATACATGACACCCTAATTCTTTCCAGTTATCAACCTGTTCCCCCCATTCAGAGAAACAGGTAAGGTTTTCTGTTGCATATCAGACATTGTGTTATGTCTGACCTTCACCTTAAAGAATTATATGACCTTCACTTTGTAACAAGCATCTGACCTTCACCTTGAGCAAGTGTTTGACCTTCAGTCATGTTGTAACAAGCATCTGATCTTTGCTTTAATCAACTGTATAATATTCACTATTCACATCTGTAACATGTTTGACCTTCACCTTGTGTAACATTCTATTTCTATTCTGGATATCATCTATGCTTTGTCGTACGGTAGGTTTTATGATCTCGTTCGTAGTTTTTTGATTGTTAGAAAACTTTTTATCCTTGTTTTCATTGTTACAATTTTTTATTGTTTCGATGCTGGATAAAGGTGCCGGGTTTACGTCGGGGGTCAGCGCATGGATGTTCCTATTTCTATAGATAATGGGAACCCCATGATACCTGTCCCATTTGCCGACATTACAGCCAGACCTCACTATGTGAACTTTGTTTGCACATGGAGTCTGCTGCTTAGGCTCCCATGCCTTTCCAGCTTACTTTCCGCCGGAAGAGGGATTCGTCCTCTTCTTCCGGTAAGGGAAGTAAGCTTTTGGACCTCCCTCCTGAAGTTCTGAACCAGAGCGTTCCTGCTGGGGGTGCTCTCGTTCCACCGAGCTCCGCCCTTCAGCAAGGGGTGGCTCCCCCTGTCCAGGTGCGTCCTGGAGTAGGGGGGGGGGGGGGCCAGCCCGACCCTGACTCGGCGCAGTCAAGGGTCGAATTGGCCGGTAGCTCTCGATAGGCGGCGGTGTTACCGTCGGAAAGGGACTTCCGGTCGAGGTCTCTGATTCCTTCAGGGACCTCGGCACGCCAGGTGGCGTCGTTGGTGGGGGCCGCTTTGACTCCGGAACTGTGCCTTCGGGTATAGGTTCAGGGGCCACAGACTTTTTGTCAGGATTGTCTGTGGCTACGGGGATTAGTGACACTTGAGTTCACTAATCCTGGTGTAGCGCGGGGTCTGTTTTCCCATCCTCACAGGCTTCTGGCTCTGGGACTTCCGTCCAATCCAGATTTCCCAGTGCAGGGTTTCCCAGGGGGTTTTCCTCCAAGGGTTTGGGGCTTCAGGCCAGGAGTCCGGTTTCCCGGTCTCCCTTTCCCCCGGGCTCAGGGAGTAGGGGTGCCTGCGGGCACTTATTCCTGGGTCGCCCAGGCCAACCTGCGGATGGTTTTGGGTACCAACAGTTACTGAGCAGTTACGGGCTTAGCCTGTACATGTCTGGGTTTCCACCTGGTGGGAGTGGCGGTTCATCCTGGTCCTTTGGACAGGATGTCCAGCCCCAGACTCAGGCAGGCCATCTTGGCCAGTTCTGGGGTCACTCCCGGCCCGCTGGACCGTTCCCATTCCCTCAGGGGTTTGGGTTTTTACCCCATGGGTCTTCACTCGTGGAACCCATAGGGGTTGGTCTCTCCTCTAGGAGATGTTATAGTAGTGCGGAATCCCCCCAATGTTCTGCTACTTCGGGGGCCTTGTTGGCCGGTCCTATAAAGGTTTGCCAGACCTTAAGGACTTCCGCCTCCAGCGCGGACCCGTCGGTCTCCTGTTCCCAGGGGTCGGCTTCGGGTCTCCGACCCAAGCCTACAGCTACAGCTGTTGGTCGCGCTGCGTCCAAATGCCATAAAGAGGAGTTCCCCTCTGCGGAGATGGCTCCTCTGGCGGCCCCTGTTCCTCCCAAGGGGACTTCGGTCTCTATTGAGGAGGAGATGGACATCGAGGGTGCGGGCTCGGCAGAGGAAGACGATGTCATTCATCTTTCTCCTGGGCCAAGAGGGTTCACAAGGGGAAGATGGCCCTGAGACTGCTGAAGCTGAGGCTCAGCATGTGCTTTCTGGGATGCGGGTCCTCCGGGCCAACATCTCCCGGATTCTCAGGGCGGAGGTTTGCCCACCGCCTCAGCATCGTCGGCGCCTGAATCCACCATCCTTCTGGGTTCCCTGGTGGCTCCTCGGGCTTCCGTTCGCTCAGATCGGTCTCTGCCAGAAGGCAATATCATGTCTTCGGTTCTGGCCACGGCCCGGGCTCCGGTTTTAGAGAAGGACTCCTTCTCTACCCGTGCTCTCGGGTTTGTCGGTCTGCAGCTCGGTGTTGGTGAATTGTCGGAGGCTTCAGCTTCCGACTATGCCACACATGATGGGCAGCTGGCCTCTCAACCAGCACAGCTGGAGTTGAGACAGCTGGCTGCCTGGCCCGGCAAATCAGTGGACCAGGTGGTGCTCGATCCCAAAGAGCACCACAGGATGGAGAGAATGTTGCACCTCTCCATCCAAGTTCTGTCATACATAGACTTCCTGACAGTTTGTCTATACAGGGTATCCGATTTGCCTGAGTGTCGGTTATCCGAGACAGAACGGCCGACATACAGGACACGGCAGCCTTGCAGGTTCTCTGCTCGTCAATGCCGTGTTGGCTAGGCAGTTTTCAGTTCTGAAATTCCGCCCAGTCCAGTAACCCTACCGTTTCCGCTTGTTGAATGCCCCCTTCTAGGGCTCTACCCTGTTCAGGGGAGCTCTTCCTTGGGTTCAGAAGGATATGAAGGAGGACTCGGTCGCCTCAGCACTTCTGGTGAAGAGGTTTCAGGCTGAGAAGGCCAGTGCCTCGCAGGGGTCAGTGCCTCCTAAGAAGAAGGCGAAGTCTTCGGCTGCTCAGTTTTCTGCACAGCCCAAGTCCCAACCTCACTTCAACGGCAACAAGGGGAAGGGTAGGAAGGGTAAGAAACCTCCTGGGGGCAAGAAGAAGGGTTCCTGACTATTTCTGCTTCTTGGCCGCTAAAGGCGAAGGGTATGGCCGGGTGGACGGTGGTTCTCCTTTCCCGGGCTCATGTCCTTCTCCTGCAGGCTCAGGCTCCGGGTGGGCAGACGATTCTCTGGTCTGGGCAGGGGCTCGATCTGCCCCATCCGGAACTCCCTGTGGGCGGACATCTCTCTTCCTCCTTTCCTAGTGGCAGGATATTATTGTTGTGTGTGTGTGTGTGTGTGTGTGTGTGTGTGTGTCGGTGGTCAGGGAGGGTCTAGGTATTCCCCTTCTTCAGGATTCGTCCCTGCCTCCTGGCCGTTTTTGTTTCTTTCCTCCTCCCGGGGATTCAGAAAGGGCACGGGTACTCCCAGGAGGAAGTGAGGGACATGCTGCCAAGGCAGAGATGCCCTTGGGGCTCACGACAGCTCCTTTGGTGTTCACCAAGTTGCTGCTGGTGTTTCCTTCACTCCTGCAGAATCAGACGTCCACATCTATTTCGACGACTCCCTCATGCCTCTTTTGGTGTGGGAATCGTTAGTGAAGGACACTCGTCTGGTCCTGAAACTCTTGCTCAGAGTCGGCTTTCATTCCTTCCAAGAGAGAAGTCAGAGGTTCCTTCATATTAGGACTTCTTCTTCCTGGGGAACCATTTTGACATGGTTTGGGGCTGAGCCCTTCCACCTCTGGAGAAGTTTGAGAAGGTCAGGGCTCTGGCTCTGACTTTCATCACTTGGTCGCTTGTCCAGGTACATTGGCCCTCCGTTTTCTGGGGTATCTCAACTCCTTGGCATATGTGGTCCCCCCTAGGGAGGATTCACATCGGACCTCTCCAGATGTTCCTCCTGTCTGACTGGGTTCCGTCATCCAGGAGGCCTGGATCCCGCTTACCCAGTCGGTCAGGGAGTTCTCTTGCTGGTGGACCATTC